ATATATATATATATATATATATATATATATATATATATACAATGTGAAAGCCCAAAGTATCATGGGTCTTAATGAGTTTTATAAAATAAAAACACCCTTTGGGGTCCTAAAAGTATCACCGCACATGTCGTACTTTTTGAATGAGGGCAACAACAGCTCCATGAAGGGCTTGGTGAAGTATCAACCAGATATTGTCTCAAATCACGGTGTGAATCAACTTAAACTTGCACTCCACGATTGATTGACCCGTACTATCAGCATCTGTCAACGGACCAGAAAGTTAAAAGTTTTCCGCACTTGCCTGTCCAGTTCGCATACTTTGGATCCAGTGCACTTTTGGAGGACCAAAACTGATGGGACACTTTTGAGTAAGGACCTCGGTTTATTATGTCTCTTCGGTTGCACGCCTAAAAATGTCTACCTTGAATTATGGTTTTGAATCTTGTTAGAACGTTAAAACTTCGTAGAGTGGACACTGGTAGGACCGGTTGAAAGGGTTACCATGTAACAATGAATCCCACATATGTTTTGCTTGGTTCCCGTTCAAGGGATTGCATCTACTTCACCAGAAATCGTTCCTTTGGCTAATTAAGTTTGGGATAAAAAACTTAGATATTATGACCAGAAATGCAGGAAGTCATTGTACATTGCTCGTAACTGATAAAAGAGTGTCACCAGATTGATGTTGGTTGGTATGGTTCCCTTCGGGTCTTTAGGACTGTCTTGAAAGCACTCTGTTGCGGGGTCCTCTGCTTTTTCATTCACTTTGAAAGACCGTAAGTAGCAGATAGTCACGTGAGGTATGACCGAGTGATCAAGATAGAATGGATTATTGATTAACGAGTGGAAACTGGACACAAAACCACAATCAGTGGTTAAAAAACGTAGATATACCACGCTTAGTTTGGATGAAACTGACCAAGAAAGGCTAAATCCTCCTGAAGCTACAAGCACCAGATGCAGAGTAAAGTACTGGCACAAGAATGGTGAAAGCCAAGCCCATGGAATGGTGTCTCATTGAGTACCGAAAGCGGAAAACGAATGAAAAACAAGCAACAGTAGTGGAACCAAAAATATTTTAAGGAAGTTGTGAGAATAGGTTGCTTTCCTGTAAGCCTGTGTTTCAAACTGTCGACACTCTCAGATCACTGTCAAATTCTACGGGAGATGCATGAAGAACAGAGTTAGGTTGATCTACGTTTTTGTCAGCCGAAAACATGGCATGTCCCTATTGAATAAAGAAATCAAATTCGATGGTTAAACTAGATGATTTCTTCATTATCTTAGTGGTTCAATCAAAATCGACACAAACGGATAGAAGGATAGCCTTAACGTTGTTACTGGCGGAACAGAAGCTACACATTTCAGGGAGTAAGGGAGTGTAGTGCAATGGAGACAGAAATCTACAATGTTTTCTCTTAGTTTATTGTAGCCCGGTGTGACAAACGAGAGTATGAAGTCTAACAGCCACATAATCAAGTCAGTACAGTCCTTATCGAGCACACTCTGCAGTGGTTTCAGCGATACAGCCGAAACTCCGGATCATGAAGATAGATAATGTGCTCGGTTATTGCTAATCTATCAAACTTTACTATCCACCGCTTCCCTTATCGTATACTTTTGTTCATGTACTGATATTACATTGATTTTCTAATTGACTGCACCATTCGAAAATAGAAAGAAAATAGGAAGAACGGGATAACATCGAAAGCGGTTCGAAAAGACTGCCCTGAGGTTGTATTCTCTTACAGTGAGGAAATGTGTGGAAAATTTATCAGTTGTTAGTAAGAGCCGATGGATACGCGAACGCCAGATTGCAGCTATGAATCCAAGAAAGTGTGTTTTCAAAAGTGGGGCAGATGTCTGAGTTTCAAACCTAGTTGTAGTATGGTGGACAGGTCATCTTTCAAGAGAGGGGCTTCAAGGAAAACGGCAGTCCGGTAGACCGGACTGTTTGGCCTCTCAGGTGAAAAGCTAATAACTTGCATCTAAACGAAAACCGACTCTAAGACCTCCACAATGTTCCCACTGGCAAAAAGCATCAGCCACACCCTGAATCTGACAACATATAGTGTTTGCATTCTCTAAGAAACGCACAAAAATACTAATAAGATTATCTTATTTGCCAAGCCATTTGACATATATGATTCTGGGTCAAAAAGCTGAACTGAACTTTGCTAGGCGGGTTTATGGGATCAGTCGGCTTTGGAACGTTGCTCCGACCAATGCTGTGGTAAATGAGGCCTTCCTCAACGACACAGAGAAGTCTATCGGAAGAATATATCGGTACGGTGAATATGAGGACTGCGTCATTGACAGTGGGTTCCAGATTAGATTCTGATGACCTGGGCGACGGCTGGGCAACCCGCATAGAAAACAACGGAGAACTATACCACTCATATTGGCCCAAAGAATTACATACTGTTCATTTCAGCCAGTGTTAAATGTTCCGTTTTGTTTGCTGCTAGTGAAGGAAAATTGATTTCACCCAGCAAAATGGCGGAGGACAAAGATACTAGATCGTTTTTTCGTTACAGGCTCCACACGATGATGCGATCCAGTTTTAAGTTTGGTAGTCAAGTCGAACAACTCCTAAGGCACCCTACCTGATATGGATTTGCATCTGACTGAGCTCTGTAGAGAAGTACTACTAAAAAAGAGAGGCTCAGGACGTGTGCCACACAGTAATATGTTTCCAGGAGGAACAGAATTTTGACCAGGCCCGAGGGTGTACGCTTCTCAAAGACAGCACTCTCTATATCATGCTTTTCGCAATTGACCAGGTGGCTGTTGATCTGTCCGGCAAGCATGGCGATTGATTCGCAAACGTTTCGTCACCGTTCGAGGTGACATCAACAGCACACCGAGTACCAATGAATGCACCCGAGCTCCCAATAGTCCAACACAACACTATGCTATACCGTACTAGTTTCGGTTCCTGAACTTATTAGTCTTCCAGATCTATTTCTCTATGTGAACTAATGCTAGTTTTTCCCCACTAGGTAGAAGTCAGCTACCAGTCGAGGGTAAACTCAAGCTAAATATGGTTTTATTAGAAGAATCGACCAACTCCCACCTGAATCTCTCATTTGTAATAATTTTCAAATGGGTGTGCTACAAAAAGGCTGCCTCATGTTTCAGTTAGCATAATATTTAAAATGCGACGTTAGTTTTCCTGACGGAGCGCACTAATGTGACATTGTACTCAACCAGCGAATTCCAACAGGGATGCAACACGCCGTGAATTTTCCACGATTCTTGAGTAACCTGATGAGTAGTGGTCTCTGTGAGGCAAAATAGTACATATTATTTGAACAAAATGATACGGAAATAAAGTCTTCGATGGAAAATTTGTCCCGCCGGTGAGCAGCACTCAAACTTTGTCTCCAGATTTGTCTCTAAAAGAAAATGTCGGAAGCCCCGCCAGATATTCCATTTTCTAAACTGAGTAAACCAGAGTTTGACTAAAAATTGAACAACCAAGCCACCTCGAATAGCCTTTCATTCAGGCCCATAAATTTAACCTAATTGGAGGCTAGTTGAAGGGGCCCAGAGAGGATGAGGAAATCTTTTGCTTCAGTGGGTTTTTATTTGTAAACAAAAGATTTATTATCATCTTTTGTGAAAATAAAAATTAGTATGTACTGTGCACCCAAAATGGGGAGACTAGTCTTCTTCATTGTGCTTTGAAAAAGGCAAGTTGAGTGACATTCATATGCCAAAGTCTTTTGGTAACAAGCAGCAATGCGGATTGTTTTGCGTGTGAATATGCAAGAGAGTGTGCAGTGTCTGACAGAGCGGACGCACATTTTTGAGAAAAGTGGTGCTTTGGCACTGAAGAACTTCGAAAGACTGAGCAATCAGGAGTTCGATTGCGGTAAAACATTTCCGAGTGTACGTCTTGTCAGACTGGACATAAACTGGGATGCATGTAACAAAGTATCGGAGATGAGCATATAATCTCCGAGTTAGGAGTACGCTAAACGGAACAAGAAAGTTGCGGGTTGCACATATCACTCGTTTTTTTGCTTGTGTGTAATACAGTGACACCAGCTGTGTCTATCGCACAAATTCAGTGCAATACACGATATGCCGTGAAACAAAAAGTAAAATTATTTTAAAGGTATCCGAAGTTGTTCATTAGAATGCGTGTATTCTGTTTTAGGTCCATGTCGGGAGCACCGCAAGTTGAGGAATGAGGATTTCGTTGCTGTTGTTGCTGTTTTTCTTCCAGCCTCAGTTCTGCCAAAAGGCCATCAAGTGAGAAATTGCCCGCTGAGTCTTCCGAACTGATGGAAACGCTGAAAGGGGCGGCTAGTCGGGAACGTTGGGAGCATAGTCCATTCGGTTCAGAAGCAAGTTGAGCCACATATGCATTTCTATGTGGTTCAGTGACAAGTAAATCTTTTTCCTTTGATATTGTGAGGCTTGAAGCGGCCTCACTTTGAATAGTACCATTTCCATTGGGGTTCGAAAACGTGGCAGACGAATTGGAACATCTATCCAGCGGAAACACATCAGCACTGGAGTGCAGATTTGAGTAACGATGTGTGGCATCCCCCCGTTCATTGGAGTTGACATTGGCGGGAATCGTGTTCGGTGTGACAATGTTTGCCATCATTTGCTTCAGCGGTGTGCAGTTCTCTAGCGACCGTAGAGACTGATCGAGCGACTTGTTATCGTCTGCAATGTCACCATGGAGTTTTGCATTCCCATCCACAGTACCGGTCGTACCAATTCTAGCAGGATTGGGGGCAGTGGATGTCCCCCTCATGCTTGACTCCAGATTGGCAAAGGGGTTAGTGAGGGTGCGTATCGAATACTGATCATTTACGAATGGGATCGACGGCTGGAAGTTTGGGAACATCCCACCAGGAAAATAGGGCAACTGCGAGTTGTGTGAATGCAAAAAGCTCGACACAAAAGACGGTTGACATTGTGTGGGTAAGCATCCGACTGCGCTACCTGACGCATTTGCTGCAAACGAAAGCGGTTGGTTAGTCTGACTCGTAAACTTCACGTTGGGTGGAGATGTCTCCTCTTTGTTTTGTGTCAGTGGATTTTCAGATAACAGTGTTTGCTTTTCATCTTTACTGTCTGGTTGATGAGTGGACATTGTATTCCTATTCGGATTCGTGTTTGCACTGCCGTAAGTCAGACGCTCAACCAAGTCATCCAGCTGTTCCTGCATCCCTGGTGACACACCGTAGTGAGTCAAGTTGAACGTAGCTGGACAGGATAGTCCTGAATAAGGCATCTTATCCTGACCGTAAAACGCTGCCCCAGTAGGACGCACAGGAGAGGGAATATTGGGATCCACACCCAAGGCTTGATGTCGACCATCCGGCATAATATTGGCTATGGTTGTGGTTGGCTGGCCACAGTGAATGTGCGCTCCCATTTGTTGCATGGCCGTTGGGTAGTTTAATCCAAACGAATAAGGATAAATGGAAGAGCTTGGATACATAGAGCTGGGGTAGTTTAGCGAACCATTTGCCGTCTCACCTCCAGGTCCGACAAAACAAGGGTTTGACTGCATAGTTGAAGTGGTCGGTAATACAGTGAGAGAGCCACACTGCGACACCTGAGGGGAATAAACTACAGGTCCGTAAGATCCGGGGACATTGGCCTGACATTCGGCTGATTGTTGGGGAACCGCTGGGCCATACTCAGTGCCAGTAGCAAGATAGTTGTATGAGGATGGCGGATTAAACACCAGTGGCGCAGTGTACGTTGATCGGGCAGGAAACATTTGTTGGGATAATGGTCCCTGCTGTGGCACAGGTAGCTGGTAATAGTTCACGGGGTTAGATGAAGGTATATGTGGAGAGCTGACAAAGGAATGGAACTGGTTGCATGGATCGAGGGAGTGAGATGTGAAAGAGTTGGCGTAGGCCTGCAAGTGACGGTGACTCGATAGGCTGCTTTGGGTAGCAGGCGTACACCCTGACGTATCATGCAAATCCGAAACAAAGCATCCTTCCTGTGATTGGTTCGAAGAATGGGTGGCCTCTGTGAATGTTGTGGTGTGTCCAACCATTGAAACCCCTGAATGCTTATCCGGTAGTTGCGTGTGAGACCAGGCTACCATCGGATGATTAGGTGGAGTCTGAACTGCACTGAATTTTCCAAGGGAATTCTCCCCGCTTGTCGTAACGCTACCAATTTCGGCTTCCATATCTGGATCCGCTTCCAATACAGGCTTCGTATTGTAGGCAACTCTATAGGAAAGTTTTCCTAAGAAAAGGAAGTAGTGATGAGAAAAATCAGTGGTAGAAAAGCCATAAGTGGGCCGCTATACATTTGGAAATGCTTAGAAATCTCACCACAATTTAGGACGACATTGTCAAAAGTGGCATCGCAACAGTAAATGCAGCCACAAGTGATGATGTCCATAGATTTTTATCGGCCGATTTCCCGCAACAAACGGATTCCTCTTTTGCGTTTCCTCAGAGCCTTGATATCAATGATAGAACAATCCCTTGGTTAAATTACCCTTGGCTACGACCACTCCGGATTGAACGTATGAATCTTTCAGCAGATTTGTAGCCCATTTTTTCTGGTGAGGATTCTAAGTAAGATATGAAGCGTTGGAGCTGAACACAATCGAATCAGAAAGCAAACTGCTTTTTTCTTTTCCGTGCCGAATGAACCATGTTGACATCAATTAGGAAAAGCAGACTGTGTGTAGCAAGTGCCTTAACGCTTGAGGCTGATTAGTTTCATTGAAACTCTAACTGGTTGGTGTTCAGCTTATTGGAAAATAACTTTCATCCAGGTTACAAAACGCAGCTACCACAATACTGTGAACTCATAACTCAAACACCATGGAGTTACATTCACACCCCAACCAGTCTCTGTCAGAATACCGATTTATCAGGAAAGTTTGCAGAGCTTAGGATAGTTAGAAAACCTAAGCATTCCAAAACACCTTCCCTGGCTGATCGTCAGAATTCGAGTGAGAAATAAAGTAACCCTTTAACATCTGGAAAAAACGCATCTATCATTACACATTATCTGTGCCGTATGATACGTGCCCAATCAGGTCATCCAAAAAACGTTACCGGACCTGATATGGAAGGCGGACACTATGATTCCAAAACCAGACAAACTGTCCTCAAAGGTTATTGTGAATAAGAAAGGACTGTACTTCGAAAATCGATGTCTAGTCTGCTACGTTCAAGTTATTTGCGTAAAAAATCAGATGCCTGGCTTTCTGTGAGGAACGAAGTACATGTGATCTAGATATTATTTCACTGGTGTTGACCAGGTGACGGTTGATCTGCTCGCCGAGCTTGGTAATCAACAGTGTGCACACTGACGACGTCTCCTGGCATGATGACGAAGCAGGCCAATTGCCAGGACATCAACTGCTACCTAATCAACATCCACTAATCTCACCCAAGTTACCATTATTTGGACCACACACATGCTTATCTTCCGAACTAGATTTAACCCGGAATCTGTTGGTTCCCATTAGATTTTAGTGCGACTCGTACACCGATTCCACTAACTTGCCGTACCCTACCATGAGTCAGCCACGCTTCAAGACAATGTTTATAAACTTGTAGGCAGTGAGATTACGAGTATTGTCCGGTGAGTTATCACGGACCTTTGGCATATCTCGCGAAATTCAGTAGTTTGAGGTTGAGTGCTTTTCTGACTTTCGCTTACCAACTAGAGCCACGCTTTTAATGTAACTGATGACTGGTAAGGCGGACTTTTATCCATTCTCCACCAGTTGGGAATCACAAGAATTTCAGATTGATTCGATCTTTGAGGGAGGAAACTGTGAGAAGTCTCCTGATACCAACCGACATTTTTCTGATCAAACTCGTAATGAAGAATCGTCTCTACACAACCGACTATTCCAAAACACTTTACAATTTGTCAGTGAACGTTTTTTCTCTGTTTTGTAAGTGAAAATGTACGGTAAGGTCGAATATCGTCTTCGAGGAAATTGGGTGTCTGAATGGCTTGATCAGTACTGACAGCGAGGTAGGAGAGCTATACAAGTCTTGGTCCTATTTGCTTCAGACGCATTCTGGTCCGTATTTTACATCATAGCGTTCAAAGGATACGCTTGATGTGGAGCTCAAGTTCTTGCCCTATTTCCTCCGAACACAACCGCCTGGACTGGTGTGTGTGTGTGTGTGTGTGTGTGTGTGTGTGTGTGGATGCACCTGAACCAATAATAACGGTTAGGAGGGAGCGATTTACCTTTTGGATTGGTTTTAGAGCATCAAGCTGCTTAAGGATAAATGTGGTCTTAGAAAGCACCTTTAATGTTATGGCAGTCTACCCAAGGATACTTCGGCTGCCTATCAGCACTTTATTGCACAAATAGGTGACCCCTAGTTACAGTCAAACATGAATGGATAGAAATAACAGGAAGATTGAAACATAGGCCCAATCGGATTCCGGCGCTGTTGGACGACTCTCAATCAGCTGCTACCGAAATCGATTCCATTTTTACATAATCAATCACATGCCACGTGATTCTCTGAGCTGCAATCACGGTTCAAGATCGTTACGAGATGTGGCTAGTCAACTTTCTTGAACATAGCCCTAACTACAAAAAGGGTGGCTTTCTGTCATGTGTGCATCGAAATTGTTGCCAATTACGGAAAGAGAGGGAACTAGGTCCAGGTTGCCAGTTTACCATATCTTATATCATCGTGTTTATTGATAGCACAAGAATTGCTGAATATGAAATTGTCACCTAGAATCGATGAAACAGATCACCATTTCATCCTGGCTGTTCGCAGAATGGGCAAACTGAAGTTGAACAACAGTATGGAGCAATGCTTATTGACAGAACTATCTCTATTCATAGGCTAATGGAGAGAGGCGCGTAAAAGAAGCCGATACAATTACCTAAAAAGTCTTGGCATAAGACCAGAGTACACCGAACACCACGACCGCGCATCACTGCGACAAAGTCGACAGCTTGTAAGAGGGTTGCCAAAGAAGGGTAATTATATCGTTGCGGTCTCAAGGGGAGACCGAAACGACGCTGATAGACTGCGCACAATTGCACCAACAGAAGTTTGCCTTGATTCTGTCGGAGAAGCTCCCGGAGTTCCCTGGCAAACATTATTAAAGGTCGCAAGACGATGAAGCAAGAAGGCGACTCTAAGTTGGCAACTGAACAGACGGATGTGTCTTGGTTTTCATCGGAATTCAACTCGTCTGTGGGGCCTTTGTTGGGTAAGTCTTTGAGCTCATTCTCTGTGTTGCACGTTTCGGATTCATTTTCAGCGCTAGATGCTGCTGTATTGTGCAGGGACGACGACTCCCTGCAAGGACGTTCGTTCCAACTGGGACGTGAGGAAGGCATACCAGACTCGCCAGTTGTCTTGGACTCCGTTATCCGAAACTTTGAAGTAAATTAAACAAGGAGTAAAAAACCAATCTCTTTTTTAGGACAGTAAGTAAAATTTTCGAGAAGTACTGAGTAACCGATGTACTGATCTAGAAAGTCCAACTAGGAGTTGCTGTCATACCTTGGCTCATTCATCAAATTCATTAGGAGACCTCGCTAAGGGAAGAAAGACAAAACTTTATATGTTTTAATCATTACACCCATTAGAGCTGTGTAGAGTACATCAAGAGTTGACAAATCACTTTGATCTTGGTTGCAGCAACTGTAAGACAAGTGCGAATGGAATGAAAAAGTTAAGGCATAGACTGAGGCGCTGCTTTAAGTTATCCTTTTTGTTTATTAGTCCTCTAGTCTGTGCACAGAAACGAAGGGCAACATCTGTGTAGTTACTCCGAGTACGTTAAATTCCACCAAGAGTGAGCCTCTTAAAAGGATAATTATCACCATAGATAACCAGCTTCTCTGTTTCTCTGGACCGGGGCGAAACCCAGCTTGATTCTCACGAATCTGTCTCCTCCGATAGCTCATCAACCTGCGCAATAATTTCAGAGAGCACTTTAGATGCAACAGATATCAGGCTAATACCACGATGGTTATCACATGGCTTTCTTGATCCCTTTTTGAAAACTGAGACGATGGTCAAGGGGCTCCATTCGACTGATATTCTGCTTTCGTTCCAAATCGTCTGGAGTATGGTTGCCAGCCTGTTCGCCAGGACATACCCACCTTCTCTGAAGAGCGTGGGGTGTAGACCATCAGGGCTAGATGCCTTGTCGCGCTTCAAGATTGAAATCTGGCGCCGGATTTCGATTTTTGATGGTGAGTTTGTGTCATTGTTCCATTTGAGCCCACTTGGTTCTTCAAGTGGTTGTGTTGAAGGAGACCAGGTGAATTGTTCTTGGAAGTGCTCAGTTTACCGCTGGAGACGGCTATTTAAGGAGTGGATTGCTGTTCTGTCTTTTTCGCATAGTGTCTCACTGACACCTGCTTTCTCTTGACCAATTGATCGGATTAGTTTAAACAAAGAGTGGCTGTTGCCTGCAGCGAAAGTCTTCTCCACATAAGTAAACGGAATGGAGATTTGCGGCCACAATTGGGACGCTGATGCCAAGAATATAACTCTTGAGTAGCTACTTCTGAAAACTGGGCACAACTATCAATACTGTCTGCCTATTTATTAATTTTCCTCAGTAGCTCTCGAAGTTTAGAAGTTGCACGGTTAGACAACTGCTGCACAAAGGCCACCTTTTGTTTCAATATTCGAGATAAGGCGGTATAATTTCTCGACGAAAACACTACTCCTAAAGCTCCTGCAGCACAGTCAATCGGAGAATTTCATAAGCGAGGGATTAGGCTAGGATTCAGTAGTCTCCCACGAAAACCAAATAAATTTGCAAATGAGTGTAATGCGCCAACTGTAAACATAAGGATGACAGAGAACTGAGGTGCGTCCACATGATGTGACTCAAGGAGGAGAAACCGGTTGTGCTGCCGAAGAGTTCCTAGCAGCCCCATGTTCATTCAAGAAAATAGTGCATTTTAAATATGTACGTCTAGTCATCGTTCACCACTCATGCTTGGGTTCATCACACATCAGATCAGGGAGGAAACCACAACATTATCATTTTACAAGCCAAATCAGCTGGCGACAAAATTCCTAATTATTTCCGTGCTAAGCTATTAGCAGCATTTATAACATGATGACGGAAATCTTTGCAAAAGATCCACGTCTCAGGCAACATAATTCGTCTGCTTGTTGACAAAACTGAAGCATTGGCTGTCACTGTTTGAGCAACATTCAAATGATGACTGAAGATCATATGCTCCTAATAAAAAAAACAATATACACAGCTATTGGTCTACTAGTGGTTGTTGGGCTGTTCGCCGAGCTTGGCAATCTACTTGGCAGTCTACTAGTCCCAAAGCTTTCGAGGCTCAGGGGCAAAACCTAAGTCGAATTTTTCGCTACCTGGCCAAATCTGCCTTGCACCTAGTGACTATCATCGTTGCGCGTAGCGACGGATATACAATGTTCGGTTTAGTGAGATTATTGTCAGTTCGGTTCAGCTTCTGGTAATGCTCAAGCTCGTGGAGAAACTTCTCAGTAAACATGATCAAACTGGATCTCTCAGGTACAAGACCTCACAAGATTCAAGACGAATGGCAATCGAAAGTGGAGTAGCCATCAGCTCGACTTTCGCTTCATAACACGTTCCATAATTGGCTTTAGTTTTGATGGAACGCCATACCATACCACAATAAAGCATTGTAATGTTTTCAACCAAAACAGTAGCTGATGGTAAACGAAGGCGCAAGCTATAAATTCAGAATTATTTCTAGTCTGAACGAAAAGCCTTGAAGCAGAAACGATCCGGTGGTCATTGATTTTGTGTGCTCACAGAATAGTTAAATAAACACGACAGCAAGATGAAGCATAGAGGACGGCAACAACTTACTTGAACAATGTCTCCTAACTCTTCGTAAATCAGGCGGATACTTGGTTCGTCACGAAAGGTGCACCTGAAACGTTCAGAGAAAAGGGGCACAGACAACGCTCCCGATGGGGCTTCCAACAGAATCAAGAGTACTTTATGGGCAAGGTGTTTGATTTGAGTTCGATCTGCAAGGCATACATACTCCACCACGTTACGATCCGCTGAACCCGTTGATTCTACAATGAGTGGTTCTGTTGTTGCTCCTTTTGATTCGTCTGGCCCCTCTGCCTCGTTAGACTTACCGTCCCCAACTGCTTCTGGTGTTGTTGTTGTTTCAGATCTGTTAGACACCGGCTCCGACCGAAGAACAAGCATTTTATCGCACTTTTCCAGTGGTGATGAGTTTGCTTCTTTTGGGTAATCTATGGGCACAGATTGTATCCGTACTAATCTGGGCAACTTGGATAGAAGTTCGTTGACCGACGTGAGCTGGAAGTCCTCTAAACATAGGGGATAGCCGTGCTGTTTCATATACACGTTGAGTAGATCATTGAGCAAAATGCGCTTCCCGGGAGCTGATTCTAAAAGGGTGAGTAAGTGTTCCGCCACTATTCGGAGGTGTCGATGGCGTACCAGACTGACGTACTTTTCTCCATGTTCCTCCACGATCTAAATAGGCACAATAAAGTCACATTCATTGTTTGCCTCTCAGAATGAACCTGTTCGAACCTGGTGGTCCCTTAAGAGCACACCACACTAGCAGAAAAGTCCGAACTGGACAGAACCTCGCTGAAAACATTTTAAATGAAGCCCTTGCATCAGCATTCTTATCATCTTCAGTAGCATGCCTACAGTGAAACCTTAGCATTTTGACTTGTCATCTGACCTAATCTCACCCGAACTAATCAAAATTGATATAACCCGACCTAATTAAGAGCCTGCTGTTAAGTTGTAAGAAGTAGCAGTAGTAAGTAAGTAAGTAAGTAAGTAAGTAAGTAAGTAAGTAAGTAAGTAAGTAAGTAAGTAAGTAAGTAAGTAAGTAAGTAAGTAAGTAAGTAAGTAAGTAAGTAAGTAAGTAAGTAAGTAAGTAAGTAAGTAAGTAAGTAAGTAAGTAAGTAAGTAAGTAAGTAAGTAAGTAAGTAAGTAAGTAAGTAAGTAAGTAAGTAAGTAAGTAAGTAAGTAAGTAAGTAAGTAAGTAAGTAAGTAAGTAAGTAAGTAAGTAAGTAAGTAAGTAAGTAAGTAAGTAAGTAAGTAAGTAAGTAAGTAAGTAAGTAAGTAAGTAAGTAAGTAAGTAAGTAAGTAAGTAAGTAAGTAAGTAAGTAAGTAAGTAAGTAAGCAGTAAGAAAATTCGGAAGTTTTGAGTGAAATTCCGTCCAGAAACTAAAGTCTGTCTATGGCTAGAAATCAAGAAGCACTTCACACATGTTTTATGCTTGTTCTGGACCACGAGTATCGCGCACCTCACGAATCTGATGAGTTCCAACAAGGATGAAACGGTGAGAAGTGCCGCAAGAGTTCCCGGTGCAAACTGTCTTCACTTTCAGTAATATTCCCGTGTGATAAACCAACAACAGAGTTTAGTTCATAAAATCTATGCAGGCGGCAACATAAAATCGGGTCATCAGATCCTTCAGTAATGGCATACATCAAAGACCTATAACGCTCTTCAAATGAATTCTTTGTGGTTGACTGACTCCTTTTTACACGCTTTGCCACTTAGAACTAGAACCCTTTATTTTACCAAATCTATCATGGTCAAAAAGTCGCCCATAAATTTATCCTTCGAAAGCAACAATAATAAATGAATCTGACATGCACTACAGATGAGGAGATATCAGTGTGGACACACGTCGGTACAAACACCGGGACCGCTTACCATATCTCTCACCGCAAGGTCAGCTTCCCCAGAACCATTAATCTAGAGTTGTCCTACAGTGAACGCAGTTTGACAGTTCAAGAATCCTGTCTAAATGGCAAATTCGACCCAGACCTTTGTTCCAAATTTTCTTTCTCCTAAAGTCCCCTGTCTAGATCGCGTGCATCTTCCCTCAATAGTCCATTCTGACTAGAATTCAAGCGACGGTACTTTTGAATCTCCCGACTTCTGTTCAACTAGCGTAGAATTTCTTTTACTACTTCAGTCCCAAAGTATCTTTGAACGTACTAGATGAATTCCTGGATGCATTGTTTACATGGAAATTTTTCAAAAAAGAAGGTAACTTCAACAACGTCAGTCTTAAACTCTTTTGCTTTAAGGCCTGCTTCTCAGTGAATTTAACACCTCTTGTTTCTTTATTTTTGAGCACGTATTGTTTTTACTCTACCTAATGTCGACTTCAGATTCAAACATCGCCTACCAACAATTTCCAATGAAAACACGCTTACAGCTGCGTGACGTCTCTGAAATCTATTACAAAATCGGAGGCCGTCCTATCCGTCACCATCCCTCAGTTAATCCCACATCATGAATGAAGGAATTCCTTCAAGGTATTTGACCCACTGAATCGTATCACACAGAATTCATACACTCGCAGCGAATTGGTCGGTTCCACTCATCTCAAAGGAACACAGGTATACAAAGAACAAAATCACGAATTCAGAGTGCGGGTTGTGACAAGCAAGTTAGTTAGTTAGTTAGTTAGTTAGTTAGTTAGTTAGTTAGTTAGTTAGTTAGTTAGTTAGTTAGTTAGTTAGTTAGTTAGTTAGTTAGTTAGTTAGTTAGTTAGTTAGTTAGTTAGTTAGTTAGTTAGTTAGTTAGTTAGTTAGTTAGTTAGTTAGTTAGTTAGTTAGTTAGTTAGTTAGTTAGTTAGTTAGTTAGTTAGTTAGTTAGTTAGTTAGTTAGTTAGTTAGTTAGTTAGTTAGTTAGTTAGTTAGTTAGTTAGTTAGTTAGTTAGTTAGTTAGTTAGTTAGTTAGTTAGTTAAGTTCGGTCGGTCAGTTAGTTCCCATCAGATCCGCACAGCGATTTGGAGGCGCCGATGATTTGTCACTGACCTATTACCGCCAGTAAAAACACAAAATCCATTAGAGTCAACTTATTCGCTCGCAGCAGGAGCCTTTTATACTGAAACCCAATAACGCCACATTTTACTTGTGATGTGTTTCCTGAATTCAAGACAGAGTAACCAGATTTTAATAAACAGACAGATGTAAAGCATGTCTCACTAGTTTCTCAGCTCAGTTAGAAGCAAAGGATGTTGACATTCGAGATGCGAACCAATATCGTAGTCAGTCTTTACAGGGATTGTTTTCATCCACAAATTCAGTATTTTAACCGTAAATCTACATGAATGCCTTATTTTTGATCAGGCAACTAAGTACTGAACGCCTTGTTCCATAATTAATCGATCACTCAGTTGGTTTCTGGCCTAGTCCGTCGAAGCAAGACTCACAGTTCGTGAATGATTATCCTGTCGGGACCACGTGATGACCGATGTGCAACGAAAACTGGAAGTAACCAAAAAATCGATTACTCCCTGACCACCCCAGACTTCAAGTCATGAAGTTCCAAAGGGACCAGTTTCAAATCCGACTTATTTACTGGACTCATATAGGGTTCGGTTTCGCTGACACGATGAGCGCTACTTCCGTAAAGAGTGGTACGGCAGAACTTTGCTCTGGTTTTTATTCACATAACACCTATGTGGCTCGGAGGTTAATAGTTAACAAGTGCTCACATGCCCGGAGTGGTTTGTCACTAAGTTGCTGGTAATTGACGTAATCGGTGGGGACCATTTGCACATTCAGAAGAAAATATTTGCATTAGAAAGGGATATTGTTTTATTGAGTCTTAGATCTATGGGACATATAGCTTTGAATACGGTCGTTTCTAACGGATTGTCTTACGTACTCAGTGAGAGAACGGTGATGACAGCAATGTCCTCAGATTGAACTTGTTTGCTGGGTATTGATCTTTACGTTTTGGTGCAGCTATCGAAAAAAACGAAGAGTGTGACATTTCACTAAGGGAATTTACATCCTCTATCACTTAGGATCGCAAAGTTGCACAGATAACTGAGGGGAGCTGGTTGCTCCTTAAGTTGAACCGAGGAAATAATAAGCTAGGGTGTTTTGGTGCGTTCGCCACCCCATGTTACAACTATTCTACGAGACACCTCAGTTGCCTAATTCTGTTAGGTAGGCTCAGAAGTTAGCATTCCCTTGTTTTCTTTAAACTTGTTCGCTGCATCTAGTACCCTGGTGTCAGAACTCACTAGATCTTCCAACCCCTAAGAACATGTTTTCATGATTGCTTAGGTCCAGTTGATTCTTTCCAACTTTTCTGAGACAAACCATGTATTTGGAAGATCCAGTCGTTGTGTTCGTTAACAACCTCCATATCTTTATTGTAAACAGACGCTCTTCGCTCGCCCTCCATGACTGTTTTATGTGTAAATCGCCACTGAGACTAAACTCTAAGAAATCCATTCTCTCTCTTTAGGTAGGCTGCAAATGATGTACTACATATAGCGCTGAAGACTTCGCTCTACCTCTTGGAACTTTATCCAGACGATTTACACCAGTGTAGAAAGACTTTTTCAAACTATTTTGAAGCTACCAAGAGGTCAGTTCCATATGTCGATTCAAAACAACCCGACTACTGGTGCGCGACCAGACTACTTATCCGGCAAGTTCCACTGGGGGCCTGACAGTCATCAAGCACTTGCAGTAGAGTTTTCTTGAATATGTGACGCTTCTCTCCCACCCAGCCGAATTGTTCTCGCGACGAATTCCACATGCGCTCATACGACCAGTCTTAATGGGGCGAAGTTCATTACTGACGAGAAAAATGAACTGAAGATACACCGACCTATTAGGAAAAATGCACAGAACTTTGTGTGAGAAACCTGGAAGATTTTGAAACACAAGTTTGAATTGTCTCGGCCTTAACATTGACACTTGCAAACTCAGATCTGCCAAACCTGGCACCCGCATTCATGGCCAGTGGTGAATGTAACATCGTGAATAATGTACTATCAGGTGAAGTGTACATCAATATGCAACAGGCTTTTTGTCACCATCGCTGCTGTTGTGCTCAGCGCGTTGATATCCTCGGCGAACTAATATCCGTTCCACTCAAAGAATGTTCATCCATAGGAAAGTGCTTTTCTGTTGGCTTGTGACCAACATTACACCTATATCTAACAAGAAGGTCAACAGATCGAGCTTGCGCTCCGCCACCTTCGTCGAGAGAGTGTTATTGAAACAAGTGAAAACCATCCACTCGAACTGAATCTACTACCGATTTGGATATTGTTGATAAACGTTGCTGTCTACTGGATTTATCGCGTGATACCAGCATTGGGTGCAAACTGAAAGCCCGTCGGTTTAGCTTTCAACGATTATGTAAATGCCTTTAGTAGCGTTTGCAGAACATCCTAGTCTAAGGACATATTACTGGAGGCACAGGTTGCACTTGTGGACAGCGGATTGTCTTATCCACCAGCAACTAACGTGGGAGTTCCTCAGAGGGTACTTTATTCCGTTCTTTCGTCCTTTCGCACCACCAGTAGACAGACATCGCCAGTTTCCACATTCGATAAAGACAGGCTGATGATAGTGCAACTGACTAGCCAATAACAAATCCAAGACACTTTTGGTTACGAACTGTACTGAGTGAACTAGTCTTTCGAAAAAAGTGTAGGGATGCACACCGCAATCTGGTTCACTTACCCGTACAACATTGGGGATAGCTTCCAGCAAGTCAACTAGCTTGGTAAACCCGTAGTCAGCTACACGACATTGTCGGCTGAAGTGATGGTGATAGGAAGGAATGAATTTATTGAACGGCAGTCGACAACGTGGTGATTGACAGAGCAAATCGGCGACTTCAATGGCGAACAACTCTGTACGTTCCCGTTCCTCAGTGGTTTGAACACGCTTCGGCAGCGAAATAACACAGTCGGATTCAATGTGTGACACTTCTACCGCGTTGTCAGAGACTTCCATTAACATGTCCGTTAGGAAGCAGACACCGTAGTCAGTAATACGGAAGTCCTTAAAAGAAACATAACATGAGTGATCAACCCGGAAAAATGAGGATATTTAGAGTGAACATCGAATTGTATGCGGAAGGAGTCTCCTCTAGTGCTCTAATAAGTATCTTGTGTTATGCTTCGCAAAGCAACCGAAAACTGCATAAGGATACTGCAACATTCCTTCGTTTGGCACCAGATAGTCTATGCATCCCTTTAGTATATGTAGCGGTTTTTCCTTAGGATGGATCATTGATCAAGAAGGGACATTTTTTCAGCTTGTTGAGACGTTCTTCCAGACTGCCTTTGTGATTGGTCTCTCCGTGGGGAAGCACTTTTAGTCTTTTCAGACTTCGATTATTCAGCCGTCTCCTCTGGTATATCCGTGAACCTGATTTTGCACTGCGTCTGCCGAGGGAGACCACTTACTAGAACAGCTCTTTTGTCCAGCTAGAGGGAAACAACTGTGCATGATAAAAATACAATCACTGAGGAGTTAGGACTGTCTAAAAATCGTTCTTTATTTTCGAGCCAATCACTCCAGTACTTTAAAGCTGTTTGCACTTATGGTTGATGACAACGTCATTTGTGAAGCCGCTACAATCGGCGAAGATAGTTCCAAACCATGTCACCCAAGTATAACGCAACCACAGAGGAAGTGCTTCATTTAACAAAATGCAGCCAAGAACCTTACGAAAAAGGACCATGTGCAGATTCATAAAGGCACTTTAAGGTACAAAGTTGAACGTGTTTTCAGAGCAAGATCATTCCAGTGCAATGTCCTTCTTGTGATGTTCAGTACTCCAATATACATTTATGGCGATGATGAAGATACCTACGACTAAAACAAATAATCGTTCAGCTGTAGCACCCTTACAGTGCCTAGCTGCTATGCCACCCGAAGGAAGTACGAGGGCTGGAATACTGCCAGGTTGCCCAAGCCTGGATAGGGGAAGTCGAGAGGCAGAAGTCGGGTTCGAACCACGGACATTCCAGTCAGTAAATTCGCGCTCTGACCACTTATCTATCTCGCTCCTTATGACTGTAATACTGAAGATAAGACTGATGATGATGACGGCAGCGATGATTATGATGATAATGACGGTAAAGATGATAATGAAAAAGATACGATCAATGAGTGTTGTTGGAGCACACACATCATCACAAAATACTCCTTCAGCTGTGGCATGGCTGCTGCGCAAGAAACAGCGATGGTTGATTTACCGCCAATTAAGCAAAACCTGATGGAAACAGTCGAAGAACTAGAATGGGGTACGTAGCATGCGCATATTTCACGATATCTTCCTGCTAATTTATAGAAGTGCACAGAGCAAATCCAGTGGGTCAGATAGTTTAGAGACGAGAACTAGATATCAAGGTATCACACAGTTAGGCTGAAGAAGGGTCACCGAAAATAAATGACGCATAAAATCTAGTGAAGAAAAAGGTAGCTGCATGTGTTAACTAACCTTACGGTAAATTCTTCTATACAAGGAAGTATAGTCAGTCAGTTTGCAGGATTTGGTTGACTGCGACTTGAGGACTTTGATCAGCTCGTTGGTAAATCGGCGCACTTGAACCCGATGAGATAGAGTGAGCAGACGCATATGTCCGGAGCCCATCACATGAACTACGTTTGGCAAGGCATCAATAAGCTCGTGAAGTTTGGAATATCCGTAGTCGGCCACGCGACACTGTTTACCAAAATGATGATGATAGCTGGGTATAAATTTGCCCAGTAAAATCTGACAACCTGGCTGATGCTTCAAAAGATCAACCACTTCCCGACTAAACTGATGCAAATGGTCTAGCAGTGCTCCAGACGTGTTGGTTGTGTTGGGCACTCCAGGCGTGGAGGAACCGGGAGTTGAAGTTCCAGGCGAGAGAATTTCACCAAACTGTCGTTTTTTCTGAGATATATCCATAAGAGAATTTGTGGTTGCTGGTTGCTGACTGATGGAACCGCTCGAAGAAGACACTTCTAAAATAAGACAAAGAATTCAAGTGAAGGGATGAGCGACTGTTGTTAGTGAGGTTGAATGTGAAAACTAATCGCACCATTATTAGTATAAAATAGGAACGATCATAGGATTACTCATAGAGTTAGTAATCAGCATTGACAACAATATTTAGGTCACGTGTTTAAGAATCGTCAGTTAAACTAATGAATCATATGGAGAAACATGCTTCAAGAGCTTCAACTCATCCAGCCACAATTCGTCACTTAAATCATCCAAACACACGTTTAGGATGGTATCTACTGTGCTACCCGAACACAATAAAAGGACGTCTGTGGATCTGGTTCATCTCGTAAAACGGCTAAAAGAAGTCTATTTTTGACATTCCCGATTCCACGAAGGCGAAATATTCTCAGAATTTGTGAACCTCGGAAGTCTGAACAAGTGAGAAGTTAAGGTGAACACGTTTGCCAAGAATATCCGGAGTTGGGGCTTAGTTTTACAGAAAATCGCAATTAAGACATACATGTTCAGGAAGAACTGGTCAATGCTCACCATCTGTAACCGATGGAAAGGTGGCCTTTCTCCAGTCACTCCACTTTACCAAACCATTTTCACCGATCCTGAAACTTGAGCTACAGAAATACAGTCAGGAAGGATCGATCATTCAAATGCACCTCGGGTTTGTTAAGGCTGCTCTCCCACACGCTAGTCAAGTGCAGTCTGCCATAAGGGTGAAATTAGTGTACCTCACAACGCGTCCTTTATAGATCGGGTCTAACGCCTATTGAGCCACTGAGGGCACAGGAACCACAAAACACATCAAATATATACTGTAAGGGGAAGATCCTCCATCAGGCTGTCGATTTCAACGCAGTCGTGACGTTCCCCGGGTCATCGAATGTGGCCGAAAGTGCGAGGAGACTGCTCAGGCAGCGAGTTCAACCAATTTTCCAAGCTTGGCACCTTACTTCGGTGCACACTGAATTTAGTTTATAACAAATGTACCAGGTAGCTCAAATTGCCTCGAATTCAAGGTGACATTATGATTTATTCAAAGATTTCGTTTGATGATAAATACCAAGAGGACTACTGCATGTTAGAGCTGAACACGATTGGCAGATTTCTTTGTTTGTTCTCATCAGAACATGCCTTTATCTTCATTCCACCTAACGTTGTTTTTAAGAAAAAGAGTAAGTTAGTGGTTAGGTTTCATAGTTAACAATCCAAAAGGTGTCCAGGGAGTACTAACCCATCAACCATTAATCACAAAAGGATTTGAGTAGTCATCGTTTCTAAGAGATTTGGTAAACCGCTGGTGGATTTATTGCTGGGCTAAGTAGTCAGTATCTCAACGGTGAAAGTTTTCCAACTGTGACGGGTGTAGCTTCTTTGAGATTACTCCACAAGGCTAGGAACGTCTAAAGTCTCGAAAAACCAATGAGGAACAGTGACCCCCTGAAACTTGTCAATAAGAGTGAGTCGTTCCAACACATGGTCAGTTAGAACCTGTGGCAGGCACCACTAACCGTATTTTCTCTGTTCATTTGGGTTTGGCGACTGTTAACTGTGAAAGTATATACGGTGATTCTGATTGCTACAGCTTATGAAAGCTGATAATGTAGAAAAGAGGAGGTCGGAAAGCAATCTAAATACATCAGAATAGCGAGTTGATTTAAAACAAAGGAGTTGATGCCACAGGATCATTGGTTGCCGGGCACTATTGCGTTGATTAATATCTCCAAAAATTGATACGACAAGTTTCCATTATCTAAGCTTCGTGCACCGAAACATGTTATTGTAGGCCATTCACTGCAGAACAGTCGATCACATAGAGCTCATGACTGAGCTAATGTAATTAATACAGATGAATCAACTCTTCAATTGAACAGATAATTGATTTTTCCACAAACCATTTGTCCATTGTCAATCAAATGTCCCCAAGATACACTTGAAGTGCTTCGAAGACAACAGGGGCTAAAAACAAGCGATGCCCTGTTGCCTTCAACTCACAGTGGCTGGGCCTCACAGTTGTAAGGTAACACTAAGGACATTGCTGCGCCTAGGCCCTGCTTGTCACCGGCACTCTCGTGCTACCTGGACCCTAGTAGGTGCTTAAGCTTCCACCCTAATCACTATCCACACCAACGCGAGTATGTCTGTTTGTAATCATATTTTCGGAACCATAAGACAAATATTAACAGCCGCTATGTGTAGAGCCTATTCTGTTCCACAATACAGGATAACCTACCCGAACTTAGCTATTGCAGTTCAAGCTGACCAACATTAAGGACTCGATTTTTGCTGCCCTGTCATCTATCGTTTCACCCGTAGCTGCGAAGACATTTGCGTCCGGGGGAGAAGCTGACGTTTCTCTGAAGCTCGACACATCCAAAAGCACTACTAGACAACAGTCGTGAAGCTTTTATTCTGTTACCCGAAATTCCTTGACCAGATGAGAAGCTTTTGGCTCCAACATCGTTTAAAATGAGTTTAACCGTCCATACTCAGTACTACTACTTAAGGGTGAATGTTAAATGGGTAGTAAGTTCATTCACTTGTTCAATCTTACATTCAAGAACAGATAGCAATGCAACTGCTGTCCCAGGTGCGGGCGATCACTGTCTATGTAGATCATTTCGTCAAAAACGGTGCAATCATTCTACAATCAACCCAGAGAGTAAGTTCCGGTGCAGACAGATATCAAACGATAGACTAGATGTAGATTGTCTTTTCTGGTGAAAGAATGGCTTGATGTTATATTTAATCGACTGAAACAAATTCAATGCTTCGTGACAGAATCGCTTCTTTTCGAAACTTTAGTCGCACTTCTCTGCAGTTGTGCTAATGTACATCCATTTCCAAAACGCGGTTCACATCAGAGGTGCATTTGATAGGATGAGATCAATTAAACTAAACACAGAAGTGGAGTAAGACTCTTTTAAGCAGAGATACGGGACAGCTAAAGAGCATTGTGCCAGAGGAACACCACCTCTTTTTCGGTCCGTGACCTAAAATTCTGCTACATGTCGTAGAGGTTTCCAAATAGTAAATTGGCCCTTTTACTCTCACTGTTTTGTGAGAGTAAATCTCGGTAGGGCGCTGGGCGGGTAAAACAGACTAAAGAGCAGTCCCGTTAATGCCGGTCGCCTCTATCACAGCATTTGCCCTTAGAGTAACCGTGTGCCGGGGTCGAGGTGGCTCAGTGGTTGGAGCGCGAATTTACTGACCGGAAGGTCCGTGGTTCGAACCCGACTTCTGTCTCTCGACTTCCTCTGTCTAGGCTTGGGCAACTTAGAAGTATTCCAGTCCTCGCGCTTCCTTCTTGTAGCAAGGCAGCTAGGCATCGAAAGTGTTACAGCTAAACTATACGATATGAAATTTGTACCACCTACAAAGTTTAAACATCCCTATCTAAATACTTGTTTTCAAAGTCCAAGTTGTTATGATTTTGCTTTTTGCTATTTTTTCGCCAAAAAGGAGGTTAGACCTCAACTGCGGCTATTTGTACATCAGTAAAAAGGTTTAGGTCTAAGATTATGGTGTGGATAGTTGAAATAGTCAAACACCGATGAATGCTTTCTGATCACCATACTGGCGAGTTGACCAACATGACTGGTGCTTGTTTCAAAAGAAGTAATGAACTTAACTAATATCCATAGAAAATCGCGATGGTAAATGGTAAGGGTGACAGTATTTCAAAAGACAATAAGGGCTCACCTGGTTCTAGAATGATCTTTCTTACGCCCGTAACATCGGTGTGTATGCGAACGGATGGGACACAGGTCAGGAGGTGTTCAAGTGGGACGCCAGCTGGATACTCTGCTAGTATCTCGTTACCAGTGCCCAAATTTGGATCTGGAAAACTTCCTGAATCTTGACTGTTAGATGAAACATTCGGTTGTTGGCCTCCTGTGCAAGAGACCAAGGTTCCCGTAGGGTCCGTTTCAATGTGTTCCTTACTACCCGAATGATTCGTTGTTTTCGCACAAACCTCTGACTGACTGTTGTCAGAGATCTGTGAGCTAACGGTAGGCAGATCACCGAATTCCGCTTTATAACAAGCTGGAAAACTGAGTAAAGGCAACGAACCATCGTGGTCTTGTAATATAGTGAGCACCTGTTGACGAAATAGGCCCAACGGAATCTGTACTGAAGGGAGCATAGAGCACTCCACTGCCTGCAAATATTCAGGACTGCCTTCAAGACAGTGACGTTGGCATACGACCGGTTCAGAAAGTGGGGTTGTCTGAACGGGAAAAGAAGGAAGTGAGGTGGAGTATAGGCGGACGTCCATTTGAGACGACCAAAAGATCGAGGGACTGTGGTAGCATCATGGGCAAAATGGCATACGCACAGACAGCTTTCTTAAGTGTGATGTGCAATCTACAAATCGTCTCTAGTGATGCTATGAAAGCATCTAGCTGAGAATCGACCTGTTTATTCTAAAAGGTCATTTTACGGTTACCTTTCGTAACGCATACAATTCCCTTCCTTGATTTAGACCTTGACTTACTCTAACCTAGTCCAGCCACAGAACGCACACGCAGGCCCTAGTTTAATAGGCCCTTGACCCGCATGTGTACCGCCAAACCGATAAAATACACCCTAATGAGGATTTATCAGATAACCGTAACTTTTTCAGAGTAGAGTTAGTAGTGCGAGCGGAATTAGAAATTTCCAATGAAGGTTTTAACCTGCCACAGGAACCCATGTATGCTGAAGAGCCAAGAAGCACTGTACAACTGCTTCATCTTTATTGAGGGTCCTCAAAATTGCGCATGTCACGCAACTGCAGAGAGTTTCGAATCGACTACCTCCAGGCTATTAGTTGGAATATTTAATCACTCGGCTACGAGCGGATGATAAGCAGTATGAATAAATCGCAGTTCACGGTGTGGGTAGTTGATTATGTTATTTGCCGGTTGCACTTTAGCATTGCTATACAAGAGAGAAATGCTTCTAGAGGAAGGGGAATTGTATAAGAACCAACGGAAAAGAACAGTCTTTTGTTGTTTCTCAATTTACTAACGGAAGCATGGATGATTAGGTGGACAAAATCATGTGCTTGCATTTGCTATATCTTGGATTCGATCCGCAAATCATCCTGGTAAATTGTACATGCGTTGCTTCGGTGAGGAATACGTTTTAAACTAATGCACGCATCTGCAACTACTCAGCAGACCCAAAGAGAGATTCCTACTAGAAATGGGTCACTCCTGGCCCTCGTACTCTCTTCGCAAGGATTACTTCATCGAAGGAAAACACATTGTTGCGGTGACTGTTCTACTGCCATATAAAAAGCAACCTTACAATTGATGAAACATTCACGATGATGGCGGGGAGTTCGGTCACCTGGGGGCATCTAGATGTTCAAATAAGTCATCGGATCTACCCAAGAATTAAAAGAAAAAGGCGGTAAATCTGTACTGATTAAAGTCAAACACAAATGTATGATAATAATGCGACCGGGATTTTATGGACGTTAACATAGCGGAATTTTCAAGAACTCAACGTTTCACTGGAATATTCACAACAAGAGCAGAAACAAGCACAATATGTCTCGCTAAATTAGTATGATAGAGTCTTGTATAATGGTGTTTCCGAAACTTTTTTGCGCCGCGATACTTTCTCATGGCAACTAAACCGCGACGCTTTTTGTCCATTCGTCACCCTGCGAGCCACGTGTGGAATTGTATGGGTGTCGCTTAGTTGGTGTGAATTCGGGAAAAGGACACGAGAGGGACAGACAGAAGTGACAGTCCCCATTTACAGTTACGGATGTCAAGTTAAAATCAAAATATGTGTGATAGATTGATTGGTGGCCTTAAGCACTCATACGGCTGGCTAAGGTGGGGGGAGGGCTTGGTTTAAAGCGCAGTTGTTGCACAATGTTGATCTTTCTGTGTAAAGGGGGAGGCAGACAACTTATGGACTGAGATAGCAAGAGCTGCAGTGGACTAGCGGAAATGCATTACCAATAAACTGAACTTAGGTCATACCACTGTGATGCCCTTTACCACTGTACCCATAAAGACTGCACTCCGTGAAAAGTTCAGGTTGGTAAGGTGAAACCAGATGTGGAAAGTCAAACAGTTTGACACAGTGGCGTGTGTTTCAGTGTGTAACCTCTGTAATCACCACGCAGAAAAGTGCATTCAGCATCTGCTGCGAAAGTCTTCTGAGAAACATCGGGTCTTCGGTTGCACAACAGTTCTTCAGATTGCAGCTAGTAACTCAAGGACCTCCAAGTACATATAAAAATAACTTTTTTGTGCAGAACCGTTGGCTATCTTTGATTGGTTTTTCTCCTGTACTGTCAGTAGTTTTAGATTAACCATATTTTATGTATCCAATTAACCTGGGATGAATTTATTTATGATTTTTTATTCATGTACTCCACATGGACAGACTGCTCTCAGGTTAACTTTCATCCATCCCAATGCCCCATCTCAGCTCACACAACTACGCTGACTGAACTAGCCAACGATTCATTACAGAAACCTGAACGACCTCTCTTGTCGTCCAATGTCATAGCACTTTTGAGAGTGGTTGCCACCTGAATATCACCTTGTTATGTGGCCTCATATCCCCGAAACCGACTTCATCTATACTCATTCCAGGAGTAATAGCATACCTGGAAGCGTTACTGTGTACCGATGTACCGAAGCACCGTCTCGCGTTCTATGATACACGTCGTTTAGGATTGTCATCTTACCCTCGGTATTCTGTGACGGAGGGTCCAGTTCATGACCTTTCGTGGGGACAAAGTCACTCATTGAGAGATGAAATAATGAAATTCTTAGAAAGCTTGAGGTAATTTCTCTGAAGGAAGCAAATCCTACTGAACAGTAAGGTGAAGTTGGTTTTGGATTTTTCTTGGTTTGGTCTGTCTTTGAAGGAGGTGGAGGCTACCGCACATCTGCTGTTACAAACGAAACAGTCAACTGACATAGGGTACCTTAAAAACTGCTCAGCTGACGACAAATGCAATAATTTGGAAATGTGGCACTGATCACTGGTTTTTAGAGCAAAATCATAGGAAATTCCTGTATTGTATGACAAGGTTGGGAGCAAGTAATAGAATAACCCATGAGCACACAACAAAAACGCTTGTGAAAAGCATGAAATGGCTAATCTGAAGACGAAACTAACAGCCCTACAAGATTTAAAAGTTAAACTAGTGGATCACAGCAAGGGGATGGGTTTTCCTGTTTTCACTGCAAGCGTGTGTACGGATTATAGGACTCACCTCAACACCATCGAACCGCATGCCTCGGAGACTGAGAGAAACAATCCGACCAGCCTGAGATCCAGGCTGGTCCTTAATTTCAATCACATCACGCATTTTGTACAGATCCGATGCACTAATGTTTCGGTGAAAGCGCTTGGAAAACAAGTCGATAAATTTGCTTACAGGAAGGGCGCTTCCAGACACCGAACGCAGCAGCGACACTACATCGGCCTTTAGTCCCTTCGTAACAAACGGCCCATTCGGGGCAATGATATTCATCTGGATTCGTTTGTAGCCTATCTTTTTTCGGTGGAAATGGGAAATGGCGAGACGTGCGTCCTCAATGCTACCGACTCGAATGATTGCACAATTGCTACCATCCGCTTGTGTCTGTAACACGACTGACTGTACACTTTTAACAAGAGTTTGAAGCTGCGTGAATAGCATTTTGCGCCATTCCTTTGGGCTAATATTATAATCCAGGTTGCTGACTAGTAAGTCAACGCCAGTTCCGTTTCGAGTGGTGGACATCTGCGTTGGGTTATCATCTGAAAGGCTTATGTGGTACGCGGGAAGACCCGATCTTCCTGTCCTGGTCATGAGATCCCCACACCGACTACGCAAATCGTTACCAATACATTCCTGTTGCAATGGATCAAGTGCAGATGAACAGTGCAGGTAGGGAGAATCCCACGGGCGCATCAGCTGTGCTGCATGCGGTGCAGTTTGTCCACGCTGACAAAACTCTTGAAAAGGCTGTTGCTGAAATTCCGATGTACCATTTACGTAAGAGCATTTAGTGTAATCTGTGGTGGAATAGCAGGCGTTTGGGTTGGAAATGGTTCCAGGGTGTTGTGAGAATGGATCGAAGTAGCTAGCCCCAGAAGACGTGGGCATACGTTGTATGGGCTGCGAGACAGAGGCTGGAAAATTCGAATTCACTGTGTTCAAGAGGGGCTGAACCGACATATTCACCATAGGTTGACCGGAATAAGGCAGTGCATCTAGTTGCGAGGAGAACTTTCGTTCCGCACATATTTCATAGCTTCCCAACTGTGATCGCTGCATCACAAGGTTGCTATCAGAACTGCTTTGCTTGAATGTTGTCACTGATGATCCTGGAATAAGAGGTTCCTGCGTATGTGAATGCTTTGTAGGGAGCTGTGCATTATCCATACAGAATTGCGAAACTTGGCCGGTATTTACGGAACGATTACGATCTTGCAAAATAGACATCTCCTCGAGTTCTCGCGCAAGTAGTGAGCAGACCTCCAAAGTGAGTGTGAATACACTACTCTCAGCTCATAGTACCGAGCTGAAAATTGAAATAGAGAAAGTTCACTTTCTTGAACATGACAAAATATCAGTCAAGCTATAGTCCCATTAAACTCGTAAATACGTCAACAGCTTTATACCTAGTTGTTTCCAACGACAAAACTATCAGTGCTAACACTGAGTCTTTAGTGCCACACAACCGAAAAGTTCATTTAATTGTATTCAACGCCTTAAAGCGAGAGGGCTAAAAGAGACTGAGTGAAGGAAAGACCTGGCACTAGCCTACGGCGGGTATTTCGATATGCCCACACCTCTCAGCGTTCAATCAGACAAGCTTGGAAGAAACTGACGGTAAGAACCCCACTGACATCGATTGGCCTCCGATTGGGCGGTTTCGAAAGCCAGAAAATAAGTAGGAAGGTGTACGCACCATGAACAGATGCGAAATTATAGTAAACGTTTCTGACAAGAAGAGGAGTGGAGTAAGATGGACTAACCAGGAATTTAGGACTTTTCCCAAACAACAAAACAGACTTGGGGTTGAGCGTAAAACGAAAGGAAATGCTTTTTACTTTGCATTAGAATGTCGCAAGCTAGACTTATCTAAGAGGCAGAGGCTGGAGAGAAAAAGCATGTTGAAGATGGATTCTATACTTTGGCTTTCTGCATCTAAAGCGGAATAGGATTTTGCCATTGAAATGTGGCAGTTTGGTTTGTTGGCAGCAAGATGTAAGAGGACATGGTGAGATACTCAGAAGAAGAGCTGAAGTTTGGTGGAGACTGGAATATGCAAACTAGCTAAGAACGAGGTTAAGTTTGGAATTCTGGCGATGGAGAGTATCAACGAAACCTACTTGGAAATTTTTGCGTTTCCTTTAAAAATGCAGCATTTTTCACCTTACCTATGTCCATTAAAGTAACACCTACTTGTTTTACAAAGCTTAGCCATCATATGAGGTACATCGCTTAGATTCATGCGACCCATAATAAACTACAGCAATCAAGTTTTCTGCACACAAAAGCCGTTGCTTCACAGATTGGTCTTAACTGGTCTAAACATTTACAGCTCTTCACTAAGTTTGGCATCACTGTGCCTAGTGATGCAAAGTCGTAACCGTGGTTCAAGGCAATAGCGGAAGATGCATTAGTTTGATCGTATTCTCCCTTCTCTGGGTGTAAATATATTCAGAAATCATAAGGTAAGCAAATGAAGGACCTAGGTTTCAACAAGTTTGAAGGATAAAGGCCTTTGCATTATGTTGTGTTGCATATGCCTTATTCCGTGAAATACGTCGGCATGCGTTTCTTCAAACATTTTGCCCGCCTCTACTATCACTCAGAAGAAAATTTAGGACCCTTACCGGTCACTCAAAGTTAGCAGTGAAGCCGACTGTGCGCAAGATAGCTCAGTGGTTAGCGTGTCAACTTGCTAACTCAAAGGTAATCGGTTCGAATCTAACCCAGACAGCTCGGCTACTCCTGTCTAGGCTCAAGCAAACTGGTAGTATATCATCCTCCGTGCTTCCTTCGGGTGCTGTGGCAGCTAGGCGCCGAAAGGTCTTTATAGCTGAACCATTATCATTATTATTATTATTATTATACTATTCTATCTTTATCAACCTCATCAACATCAGTGACACTGACTATGTGTACGATGAGCAGAGCACCCTAGATAACAGTTTTATGAACTACTCTCACATAATTGCATAAATATCAAGTTTTTAATTGATGAAACGGTCATGAGACTTAACGTGGATCCGCTATTCATCTTCAACACTGCTGCTTCTTGAACGATGCAGTTCAAAGGCTAGTTTCCATATTCACCTTCAGTCGTCAGCAGTAGAAGAGTATGTAACAACCCGTCTGTTGCGTAGCAGCCTGTTACTCCGTAAGCCTCTGTAGCTCAATACCACGTCGTTCACAGGTCACAAGTTCAGTGCTTTGAGCTGAATGCGATCTTTAAGACAAAGGCGTTTGGGCTACTTCAAGCACAATAGCACAAATATTTTCGCCTGTGCGACTAAATCAAATAGGTATAGCGGACTACCAAAATCGCTCGTTTCATTTTGTGTGGATGATTATGGGAATATAGAAGTGGGCGCTATTGTAACACAGGCTACTCAACAAGAAGCACATGTTCCATTGCTATAAAAAAAACCTCAGTAAGGACCTTCTATAGAGTGACCGTTCACTAACTTGTCATCATTCCACAGGTCTTAGGATTACTGACTTCAGTGTTTCAACAAATCCGCACTTAGCTTAAGGAGCAGATGGTTTTATCATCAGCTTATCTACCGTTTGTCCATGAGGTGTCTTACTGTCGAAATTTTTTGAAAATCCCTTCAGGCAAACTATAGGAATCATCCAACCACAGAAAGCGCATTGAGAAATCTCTTTGGAAAGATTCGCTTCCAAAATTAACGTAATATTCACTTTTTTATCATCAAAGCTGTGAAATCTGTTCAAAACCGTCCATAGATGATATAATCGTTACTACTTAGACAGCAACTATCGTTTGAGTTACGAATACAGGGTAAAAAACGTTCAACAAAGATCAAAACAAGACAATCAGCGGGGACTCGCCGTTTTTACATCCATGCTTTGAAGAGAAAAGGCACTTGTTCCACTTTCTCTTTCCTTCCCTACATCCGTATATATCCCAAATGAAATGCTCTAGCATATTTTGAATGACAGCTCAGTAACTTTTTTTCGACGAAACCCAGTGGGAATCTCCATATATTGATGAAAGTTTAAAGGTGGCATTGTGCGGAGTTGTGGTGTCGTGAGCAGTGCTGGTAAAGCTTTAGGCTCCAGATAGAAGTTGAAAACAGTTCTGTGCGTTATAACTTCAAATTAAGTCACGTTTTTGTCTTCTTTATCACATCCTGAGGTTCTTGTCTGTCTGCATCAATAGCGTTTCCGACATGTAAAAATACCGGGATGTTTTAGCGCGAAACGAAACAAAATGTTTCAGTGTTTTTCACTCACTTTAGCTACTGCTTTAAGCACTTTTTTGATACAATATTCTGTTGCTTAATCTACCAAGGCGCCTTTTTTCTACACGATAAGATTTGACAAGATCCTTTGGCAAAAATCAACTGACATCAGTTTGTAAGACAGGATGATTTTTCAAAGGGAGAAGAGAAAGTTGGTACTTTTAAAACAATGTCAAAACAAACTCAGTTCACATCTAAGGCAAGCCACTCAAAAGACGCACAGAGGCAGGCGGCCACATAAAATCCTTTGATCATTTCACTATCAATGAGTTTCTTGGCTCATGCTTTTTACACAAAATGAAACCATTTCTAGTCATTCTAGGCCACCGCCCTCTAAATCTACCAGCTGTGGACCATGCGTCAGCTGACGCTCGGTGGGGTGTCTAGTTGAGTTCCACTTGAAGATTAGATGCGGCTTCTTATTCTGGGCAAAACAGATTTCCACAAGAATTGAGTCACAAGTGCTTTGTTAAAAATGCGAAATCTGAAGGGATTACATTTGGAGCACTGTATATGCCTGCAGCACAAGAGACGCAAAAATATTATCATACACTGTTCTCTGTATAAACGCTCCATAGCAATGGACTGTAGAAAGTGTCTTCCGAAGTAAATGATTCTCCTTCGGCAGTTTTATTACTTACTTTGTGTGTTGCAAAAATTCTATGGCATAGAAAATGCCAATATTATTGAGTGTCGTAAAATTCCGATGGCGTCGCTGCCTCTTCCGAGTAATCTTGGTGCATTGATAACAAAAAGGATGAACATCATCATCATCATCGACAGCATGACATCAGTGTTCAACACCGATGCTCCACTGCCGTACAACCATGACTTATTTGAAAGCCTTATTGTGAAGAAAAGAATAAAGGTGGATGGGGGAGGGACTTAGTACTAGCTTAACACAATCATTCCGAGGTGCCTACACTCCCAGACACTCACTCAGGCAATCTGGACAGAAACTGACAACAAGAACGCCACTGACATCGGTTGGCAGCCATATCTTGTAGTGTCTCCAACCAGGCACAGTGAGGATCACGCGGTCCCCATCCTGGAAGGCGAGTAGCACCGACAGCACCCAAGCGTTTCGTGATCTCCTTCATACTCCTCTGCCAGGTCATGGGTTGGCCACCTCTCTGTTTACGCCACTCCGAATTAGGCATGGAAAACAGTACTCTCTTCGGCAAACGATGGTTCGGCATACGCAACACATGTCCCAACCAACGCAGCTTCTGGTGATGGACACATTCTTCAATGGAAGCATCCGTTACACACCTGAAAACGCGTTTTCTAACTGCCTCGTTACGGATTCGCCGACACCAGCCCACGCGAGCTGTAGTTCTGAGACAGCGAGTGCCGAACACCTGAAGATGTCTCAGGTTCGTTCTGAGACAGTGCCGAACACCTGAAGATGTCTCAGGTTCGCTGCTCGAATAGGCCAAGTCTCACAGCCATACAACAAAACAGTCCGTACGTACTCTTGATACACACGTCCCTTCAGATTCAGGGATAAACCATTCTGACGCCATAGGTGTCTCAAGTTAGCAAACGCGGCCCGAGCCTTGCAGATTCGTGCATTCACCTCATCTGTCACACTGCAATCAGAACTAATACAACTTCCAAGGTACGTAAAACGCTCCACAACTTCCAGTACCTCTCCCTGGATCGTAAGTGGCGTGTTCAGTGACTGCACGTCCACAAACATGACCTTACAGTTTGTGGGTGCAAATTGCATACCAAAGGACGGGATTACTTTGGTCAGTTCATCCAAGAATACTTGCGCCTTCTCCTCCTCTTCGAACATGAGAACGACGTCGTCTGCATATTCCAGATCGACAAGGTTTTCTTCACTGGCTATTTGAACACCAGGGTTTTGGAGACCCTCCAGCGCTCGTCTCAT